ACAGCTACAAAGGCGGCAGCCTGCGGGAGCCCACGGAGGCCTCCTACGACCGCAAGCGCAGGTACCACGAGGACTCCGACTCCGAGCCCAGTGACTATGAGGAGCAGAAGGAGGAGGAAGAGGCCCGGAAAGTCAAAAGCGGCATCCGCCAGCTTCGTCTCTTCAGCATGGAGGAGTGTGCCAAGATCGAAGCCCGCATCGAGGACGTGGTGTCCAGGGCTGAGAAAGGGCTCTACAAGGAGCACACAGTGGATCGAGCACCTCTTCGGAACAAGTATTTCTTTGGGGAGGGCTACACGTACGGGTCTCAGCTGCAGCGGCGGGGCCCTGGCCAGGAGCGCCTCTACCCTCGGGGGGAGGTCGATGCCATCCCGGAGTGGGTGCACGACCTGGTGATCCGCAAGCTTGTGGAGCACAGGGTGATCCCCGAGGGCTTTGTGAACAGTGCTGTGATCAACGACTATCAGCCCGGGGGCTGCATTGTCTCCCACGTGGACCCCATCCATATCTTTGAGAGGCCCATCGTCTCCGTGTCGTTCTTCAGCGACTCCGCGCTCTGCTTTGGGTGTAAGTTCCAGTTCAAGCCCATCAGGGTCTCGGAGCCGGTTCTGTTCCTGCCGGTGAAGAGAGGAAGCGTCACAGTGCTCAGGTAACTCGCCGCGTTGCCGAGGCCTCTGTTTAGCTGATGTGCTGAGACTTGGTTGTGTAATGCGAATCACGAGACACATGGATGCACATCCCGACGGCAGCTCCGGCATGATCCGCCTGTCCGTAGGTGTGCGGGGTCCCTGTGCAGCAGAAAGGCTGAGGGAGAATCCCGTGGTGGATGGGGAGGCAGGAGAAGAGGTGATCCCCTCTCTGGGGGGATGGGGCAAGCTGTGGTCTGCACGTGGCCACTTGTGGAGCTGAGCTTTGCTTGAGTTCCCGTAAACGGTTAAAATGAGCATCGAGACACAAAATGGATCCTGCGCCCAAGAGCAGTCGCAGTGGAGCAGCTGGTTGAGACAGGGCTCCTGGCTTCTATTCTTAGCTCCGTCGCTGACTCCTGACGTGACCTTAAGCGTAGAGGGGAAGCATGAACGGCCAGGTCTTCCTGATCTGCAAATTGGGAATTTTAAATCCTCACCCCTGAGTTGCTGATGGGAAGTCTGAGTGCAGAGCCTTGTGGGACAGTCCCCAGGAAGTGCCGTACAAAGGCGGCACAGTGACCATGTGTATCGGTTGCAGGTACAAGGAATTATTCCCGTTCTCGCAAGCCGGGGAAGAGCTGTAGAGGTGGAATGACCTGCCCAAGGTCATGCAGTGAGCCGGTAGTAAAGCTGGGATTGGCACTTGGAAACACCGGCGTCCTAATCCCCTGCGTCTCCTGGGTCTCGCTGTGCAGGCTGAGCTCGCAGGCAGGTAGTGAGGCAGGCTGAGTATTTGCAGGCTGCTCTGCGTGGCCTTGAGGAAAGAAACAGTGGGATTTCAGGTATTAACAGAGGGCTAGAAACCCAGTGCTAGGGCTGCCTGGTTTGGTGAGCACAAGTCCCTCGTGTCCTGAAGGTCAGAGAGCTCCCTGCCAGGAGCAGGGATGGCCCAAACTCTGCCAACAGTGCTCTGAGCTATCAACTATATCTATTTTTTTTTCCCCCTGACTGGGAAATGTTCAGGCCAGTTTTCAGGGCTCCCTGGCCGTAACACAATCCTGTGTTTGCCTTGTAAAGTGATCGCTGCAGGGTTCGGGAAGGAATTTTCCCCCCCGCACACACACGCCGTCGCACCGTTGACTAGGGCATCAATAATAAATGCTTAGATCTCGCGTAGCTTTTATCTCTGAAAAGCTGCACAAACATTAACTAATCCTTGCAGTACCCCCTGCGTTAGGTAACTTGTGTAGATTAGCGAGGGATGAGCAGGACTGCGGATGGATACGTGAGCAAGATGAGTTCTCCTGAAGACGAAGAAATTTTTCTCTTACCCTGGTGAATTTGGCTGGGCCTGGTGGGTGCAGGAGAAGAGCAGAGGTCAAGAATTGGTTTCATAAAAAAGGGCTGGGAGGGAGCAACCCAGTGTGTCATTTTACTGCGAAGCAGCCCCGGTCTCAGAGATGGACCCTGCTGCAGACAGACTCCCAGTTCGGGTCCATAACTTCTCGCTAGAAACAAGGAGGAAAACTTTGTACCCTAATCTCCCTGGGAGAGATTCGAACCCCTGCCTTTCCCAAGCTGACTGGGAGTAACTAGTGGTCCTTTCTGCCCTTGCAGTGGTTTCTTTGCAGCAGTGAGGACATTTTCCTGCCTTGGAGCATTCCAGCAGAGCAGTTAATGCAGGGTCACGTCCATAGTCTGATTTGCAGTATAACTAAGAAAACTCTCCTGGCCTTTAGTTTTGAGGGCATATTGAGACTTAGCAGCAGAGTATTCGCAGTTCGGGTAGGAGTGCTAGGTCCTTTCCTCTGCTCCAGAAGAAGATAATCCTGTTACCATATCCCATATCCTCACTCTTTACCCAGAATGCTGGGAAGAGCAAGGAAGTCGTCTGAAGCTTCCTGGAATATCCCCCAGACCCGTGTCGTCGGGTTTGTGGCCAGCACTATGTGGGTGTCATAATCAGTTTATTAGTATGCAAAGCAATCATGAAAATGAAATATGTGGGTGTTTTGGGGTTTTTTATGCTTAAATAGAACTGTTGTTTTTGACTGACCCACTAGCCTAATCTACAACAAGATGTTCTGTTTTTCAGCAAATAATAGACTTTAAAATGGGGATTATTTCAATTTCAGTGCAGCGGTTAACAGATACTTAGCACTCACTTAAGAGAGATTCTGCCAAAGTGATTGTTTTGCGATGATACGATCCTGGCTGGGTAGGAGTTCCTCAACTCCACTGCATCTCCTGTCCCCCCTCTAACCTGAGAGATCTCAGGAGAGCAGAGAGGAGCCCTGCAGCCCTTCCGCAGGCTCTCGGTGCCCTGTGTCTGGTATGGAGCTCTTGGTGGTGTTTAAGTCAACTCTCCAAACTTGGCTCTTTCTCCTCGCAGTAAACAGTTGCTGCAGGCAGTTGCCCTGGAGATAGGAAGCGGCACAGATAGAAATGGCATGTGTGTAATGTCTGATTCCAGCATTGCTGGGGCAGTGGCTGCTCCTGGCACGTCTCCCTTCTGGGGAAGCCAGGGGAGCCACATCTGCTTTGCTGCTGTTGAGGAGCTGCTAAAAGCTCTTCGGCCTCTCTCTCTGCCCACTCTTTCTCCAGCTCTCTGCAGGGTGCGTGTCCTGGTCCTCTATTCAAAATCATCCTTCTGCCTTTGCTGCTGCCTGCACCCCCGTGAGCTGTACCTCTCTGGTGGCTCTATGTACTTTGTCCCCTCAGGGACAGACTCAGGTTTTTCCCTGACAGAATTCCAGTTGCCAGTAAAATGCCTTGTGGCGCATGTATAAAGGATGCTGCAGGCTAAACCTCAGAGTAAACAGGAGTGTTTTGCTTCTGTTAAACAGCCTGCGGTGTTTGCAAGCACTGAACCTGTATCAAACTTGCTGTCAAATCTTGCTTAGATCTCAAACTACTGGTTAGTGTTTAAAGGGCATCCTCTTTAAATAGTTTTGGAGGCAAAAGGAACTCTCTTAGCCAGCACCTCTGCCAGCAGAACAAACAGTAAGCCACACTGAGGCCCAGAAAGGAGGTTTCTGCCCTCCCAGAGAGGTGCTGCTGTTTTAATTTTCTTGTCTTTTCTTTCTTTGCCCTTTTAAATGCCGATTTGCCCAGGTGTAGGGTTTGATGTCTAGAGGAAGAAAGCTGCCCCTGATGCCCTGAGCAGGTAACCGTGCAGGTTTGTTTTCACTTCCACAGCCAGCCTGGCTCCTCTGTGCCTGGCCGAGGGGAAATGGGACAGGGATTGAGGAACTTCATCCTGCTGACGTGAGCTGCTATACGCGCTGCACCCAGAAAAGAGGAAAGCAGATGAAGGGCACCCAAAGCCACCCAGGGGCGCGCGGTTCCAGCGAGATCACTCCGTGTTGGACCATGCCCTGTGGACGCTGTTTTAGGCAACAGATCTTTGGAGCCAGTGGGCTTTTGTTTAACTGCTGAAGGCTGCGCCTCTTGGCACCGTGGTTGGAAATAATTGATTAGGTTGCAGTTAGGCAGAGGAATAAATTACCAAAGGTGAAATGCCTGACGTTCTGAGAGCTTGTGCACCATATGGAGTTTTCTTCTGAAGCTGGTAAGCGCTCTAGGAAGAAAACAGATCTACTCCCCGTTGCTTATAATAGCAGTGATGTTTGTCTCCCCTGGTGTCTAGAGGGATGCCTGATGGTGTAATCAGAGCTGGCTGCGGTCTCTGGAGTGTGAACCTGCTCTCTTCCCAGAGAGGGGAATCTCTCCACACCTGCCTGCATTAGGCACTTTTCTGGAAAAGTCTGAACCCTCAGAAAAAGCTGCAGGTTCCTCAGCAAAGAGAAAGTTCTGTGTGTGCCAGTGCAGATGAGCTGTCTTGGGCTGAGGAATGGGGCTGCTGGGACAGGGCTTGCTGATATAAGATTCAGCAGGTTAGAGAGGAGGTACAGTGTTGGCTGGGCTGCTAGAAGAGCATGTGGACACCCCGTGCATCTTCTCCTCATGTGAAAAATGCTTTCCATGTCAGAAACGTCATGCTCAGGTGTTCATAAAAAGTGTTTTTAGGGTTTTCCTTAACTGAACTGCAGTTATCCCCCGCCCTGCCCTTTGGTTTTGTTCTCTGGGCAAAAACGTAATCTCTGTCTCTTTGCCCTGTGAACTTGGCCATCGTCCGTATACACCAAGGCCAGGTGGCAGGCAAGAAGTTTATGCTGGCACGGAGCAGAGCAATGGGATGTGACAAAGGAACTTGCTCTGTTTCTCCGCCCGGCGCCTGTGCAAGCCTCTTTGCTGGAGGACCGTGCGGTGGGACCCTGTCGTGTGTTTGACTAGCACAAACTGAGCTTTCTGCTCAACGTGAGCCGTGGAGGCTGCCTCGTGGATGCCCATCAGGGGCCAGGGCTGCTGCTTCGGTACCAGCCGCGTGCGTCTGGGCCACGGGTTTCGTTTAGCGCTGGTTTGACAGGGGGCTGGAAAGGAGGATCCAGTGTGTAGGGGGAGAGGATATGCGGCCTGGCTGACACGTTGTGTTGGGGAGTGCAGGTCTCGAGACGAGCTTTCCCCTCGCGCTCAGGGTGTCGCTGAGGACACGCCGAGGTGAATGCTAACACGGGGGATATTAATGAATTTGCTGGAGCTTGACGCAGAGGTTTCTGGAACATAATAGAGCATTATTATAACCCCCTTTGCAGACTCATTCTGCAGTGTCATGGGCGATGGGGGACACGGGCAACATTTTGCTGTTTAACTCTCAGCTCTTAGACACTTAACTCTCCTCTCAGAGCAGCAGATCAGTCTTGGAGTGAGTGCAGGTGCATTTCTAGGTGAGTGGGTGGGTTATCTAAGCAGATAAAGCAAACACAGTCCCGCACCCAGAAAAGGCCTGTGATCTGCTCCAAGTGTCCTCAGGGGATGGCGGCCGCGATCTGGCAGCAGCAGCAGAACCTCCTTGCGAGCAGCGGATTCCCCATCGGGTTGGAGCGTGGGGAGAGCAGTGAGAGCGGAGCCTTCCCTATAGGAAAGAGTATCCGGAGGCGCTGCCGACCGCCGAGCTCCAGGTCTGGTCTCCCATGTGAAACGAGTTGTCTCCGCAGTGCGCGCGGCGGGCCAACCCCCGCCGGGGGGAAGCGCCGCTCGATCCGCAACGGGAGCGCTCTGGGAGACCCGTTTCTGCTTTGGGTTAAAGCAGGGTGGGTGCCACCAGCCTGCTCTTATCTGAGCAGTCTGCACCCGGGTCCCCTTTGAGGTTCTTCCTCTCGTCGGCCATTTCGGGAGGCTCTGAGAGCGTTTAACTTCCCTTTCCCCCATGTTGGACGTGAGAAATCTCTTCTGTTTTAAGAGCGTCTGCTTGCAGGAGAGGAGCAGCAGACAGAGGGCAGGCCCGTGTCACCAAATCTTGCTCATTAGCATCCGTACGGAGAGGACAGGTCTAAGAGGACACGTTACTGATGAAGACCCTTCGTGTTTATCCAGGCAGGTGTGATGGCTGCTCCCCATGAACATCCCTGGAGCCTGCGGCCACGTTCTCACGTCCTCGTGTGCTGTGCTGGACCTTGGGAATGGTGCTTAAGAAGAGGCAGTCAGGAGAAGCAAGTCCCTGTGTGTTCCAGAGAGCTGGGGTCCTGCTCTGCCTTGGATTTCTCCCCAGCTGCTAGAAACTTCAAGCAGACAAAGTCATCCCGTGCACCCGAGCGCGCTGCTGCACGCCACGCGAGCGTGGCGCGGGCTGTGCGCATCGTCAGCCTGGGAGTGTCTCAAGCCCTTGTAAGCTCTGAGGTGGGCAGGTTTTAGGGGTGCAGTCCTGAAATGAAGATGAGCCCTTTCCCGTCCACTGTGGGCGCTACGGTGGGTTCAGGCTGTGGCGAGGTCTGTGTTTGTGCCATGACAGGACAGGTGTCATACGAGGAGCACCCCGAGCCCACCCAGATGACAGGGGATGAGATGCCACTACTGGGACTTGCTGTCTGTCCCGTCCTGTCCCACCCTAGATGAGCTAATCAGCGTTGAACCCACCTGCCATCCACAGCAGCAGGTTCTTCCTATCGGCTCTGGTACCTGTCTGGCCACGCCAGCACCATAATGGCAATAGATAGACTTTATCTTGGCAACGTGTGTGAGCAAATCCTTTGAAGCAACATAAAAGTGTCCCTAAATGAATTGGCTGCATTTACATTTCATAAACTCATTTTCTCCATGTCTTAATTCATGGTGTTGTGGTAGGTGACTGTTTCCTCTGGTGTATGCTTAAAAAAAAAACCCAAAACAGAAGGCCTGACTGTCCTCATTCTTTCCTTAAGTTTCTTTCTTCCTGCAAGTCTGGCTGCTGCACAGCAAAGGAATTGTGCAGTATTTGGAATAGGAATTCATGGTGGGAGCTAGGAAATGACTGGCCAAACTGAGTTGTCAAGGCTGGCAACCACTTTCTGCCTTTGCTTGTCATCCTGCTCACAGTGGCTTTTTGTTTTCCTTGACAGTGGATATGCGGCTGATGAAATTACACACTGTATTCGACCACAGGACATCAAGGAGAGAAGAGCTGTCATCATCCTTCGAAAGTAAGTGTTGAAGCCCCCTGGACAGCGAGAGGAACTTGGATGTGCCTTTTTCTTTTTAAGTGACTTTAAATAATCTTTTTAAAACTGCCACCTTTGTAAATATGCTGCGTTGGTTTTAAATCTTAATTGGATCCCCCTCTGATGGTTGCCCGTGTCTTGCCGTACCCCTTGCCTTGGCAGTGTAGGAAGTACGTTGAACTCGTTGCTACAAAATTAATCACTTCTCACTTCTTGGCTCTGTGCAGTAGCCCTTCTCTGTAATGTCTGGGTTTGCAAGCGCTGTTAACATCCAAACTCCTGGCTTTCATTGGCTGCCTACCTCTGTAAACAGCTAGGATTTCAGGCACTTTTGTTTTGGGCTCATTCAGGTGCCTGATCATATGATCTCCACATGCTCCAAGTTGTCTGGACTGTCCTTAGAAGTTGTTGCTTGTGATGAAGAACCTTCTCTAAAGCAGATATGATTTTCTTAGTAGCATGGCTTGCATTTCCTTTGGAGAGGGGAGAAAAGGCTGTTTTTGAAGTCAAACGGATATAACAAATTTAACTATCAGGTTACAGAGCTTATTTTCTGAGTTGGTGTTGGGCAGGAGCAACAAGTTCTGTCAGGTGGATCTCCCACCTCCTGTTCTGGGGATGCACTGTCTTGCTCAGCTGATGGCATTTCATTAGCTGCTGTCCCTACAGCTTTCCAGAATAGAAATGAACAAAAACCTCACCCCAAACTCCTTGATATCATCTTGTTTGTACCCCGAAACACCCTCACGCCCCAATTCCTTTTGGTAGAAGATTGCAAAATACATGGCTGCCACACATTAACCTTGGGTCATTGTGCCTTAGAAGGTGTTAACAACAATGCTAATGTCAAGACTCACTTTTGTAAGTGAATACCTGTGGCTTGAGTACTGTAAACCCTGGTAAACCTAGATGAAAGCGTGGGCCCAGTGGCAGAGCTGCAGTCGTTAGCCCAGGCTGATGTAACACTGGCAGGCAGGCAGGCTCGGTTCAGACTTGCTGAGCTGTTGGTCAGCTTAGTTGGTTTCAAACAAGTCTGGCAACGTTGGGAAGACAGGGCACAAAGGCAGAGGTGGACGTGTGGTTAGAGAGGCCCATGAAATGAAAGCAGGAAACAGCAGCCCTGAGGCATGAGCCTGGCAAAGCCAGCCCAGACCCACGAGGAGATGTGGAAATGGTGGAGTTGGGTGAGAACCAAACCACCCCATAGCTGGGTATTGCCACACTGGGCTTAAAGTGGGAGGGTTGTAATGAGAGCCAGAAGGCTCCTATGTTCAAATTGTTGGTTATTGCAGCCAAAGGACAGTAGTGGGGAGCTGTTAGCCCAGTGGGAGGCATCTTCACATCGTGCGGTGAGAGATGTCTGCCATAAGCTGTCCTGGACTTTGGGAGAGTTGAGCTACCTGGCCTACAATGTGAAGCAGTTTCCTAGAAAAGATGGACTAGGCTGAATAAGCTGAAGCTACCCAGGGTGGTCGGATGTATAACGTGCCTGTTTAAACTGGCTCTATCTCTTGCTTTCATCAGCCTCTGTAAGCTGAGGGTGTTTAGTTATTTCACCGGGGCCTGACTGCCCTCAAAGTGAAACTGGGCACACATCTAGCAAACATCTAGCTGGTTAAGTTTGATCTGGCTGATCCAGTGCCTGGCTCTCGGGTGAGGAAGCCCCGTTAGCAGAGCGGTGCTGGTCGCGTGCTCAGCTCTGCTTTTGGGGCAGCGAGGCCTCTTGCCCTCCTCGCAGGACCCCCGTTTCCTCAGTGCTGTGACAGGCTGTGGCCTTGTGTGGGCAGCGATGGGCCGAGGGGACGGGCAGGCCGACTGAAACCACAGCAGGACTTTTCTCTGAGCAAACTGGAAACCCCCAGTAATTATTTCAGTGTAATCTCCACAGCCAGCAGCCCTGGTGAGTCCGTGGCAAATGCCTGCTCGCCAAAGGGTGAGGTCTGCTGCCAAGCAGAGCTTATTAATTGCTGCCTGCCCCGGGGACGGAGGCCGTCTCCCTGCCGGCCCCACGTGCGCACGCGGGGACCTTTGTCTGCGCTCGTGTCCCCGCAGAGTGCGCTGCTGTGGGGAATGCCATTCCCTAGCCACGGATCATGCGACTTGCGCAGACTTAAATAGGATGTTATGCAACCCAGAAAGCAGCGACTTCCGTTAGCAGCCAGCTAGCACGGGAGACGTGGAGCAGCCAGCAGCCTCATAAAACTCTTCCCCGTCGTCTCACTAAGAGCCAGCCCCGAGCTTTCCAGGCAGATCTGATCTGCTGGGTGACGGAGTAGCCCTTCACTGCAGTCGGGAGCAGGGCTGTTGGCTTGGATAGGTTGTCAGAGTCTGCTCCACGCCGGGGGTTTGAGTGTGAAGCTGCCCTTGCTCCAGGCATAGGGCACTGGAAGCGGTTTCTGCTGGCGGCAGCGGGAGGACAGAGATGTGTGTGCTGAGAAGTGACTGGTGTTTGCAGGACGCTCGGGAGCAGTGCTTACCAAGTAGGTCATACACACTTCAGTGCTGCAGCGTGGTGATATTTACAGTGTTCCCTGTGTGCCAGAGTGCAAGACTGCAGGGAGCCAGCAAGGTTTGGGAGCGCTTTGAGCAGGAGGCTGGGGGATGAGGGGAAGGAACGATGCTCCTATTTGGAGAGATGCTGAAAGAGGTAACGTGGGAGGTGGGGATGGAAATAAGACCTGTTCAGGCGGTCTTGAAAGTCATTTTAGAGGTCTTACAATGCCCTTTGTAAGCACTTCTGTGTAAGCCATTACACCTGGGACCTGTTTTATTCAGCTGGAACTTTGGTAGGTTATTTCCTCTCCATTTCAAATAGCTCATTCTAGTTCCTGCTCCTGTAGCTCATATCTGTGTTGCTCTTGGAGGTGCTCTCTTGCCCTTGCAGTCTATTTGGCAGTTTCCTTCACTTCAGGCCTATAGTTGTCATCATATTTGGGAAGATTTTAAGCCCCAGCTCGCCCATGGCCGCATGCACAGTGCTGTGGTGGCCAGTCCGGGAGCTGCTCTGTTAATGGAACGGGCTGCCCAGGTGGGAATGGCAGAGAGGAGGTTTGCTTGGTACCTGCAGGTGCCTCCTCATAGGGGTTTAGGTTGGGTTTCTCAGGTGGAAACCTCCAAAAGCTAAAATTCAAGACCAGAGAACAAGAGAAAATTCTATCCCCTCTCGAACCCACACTTCTTCAGTGTTCACCCTAACTCCTTGGAGGGAGGCTACAGAAGCATCAGGCTGCCTTTCTCTCCAGGAAATGGTTGATCCTTTTGAACCTGGCTGTTCTGAAGCATGGGCACCACCTTGTACTCTACTTCGATGGTGCTTAGGCTTCCGTCTGCCTTTGCAAATAGACTTTAGCACTGCTTGGAATTGAGACTGGTAGCCACGCTGTGCTTGGCGATGGTGCTAGAAGTGTGGTAAGAGGTTGTGCAGTCAGGTGTTGCTTCCTGCTGCCCAGTTGTTGCTAGACCTGTTGCCTCTTCTCCCGTGTGCGTGGAGGCTGCTGTCTACAGCCGGCAACAGAGGCAGCTCAGGTCTCGCTTTGCTTTCTGGTGCAGTTTTAGCCTGTTTCTATCCCACATGAGTAGAACTGTGCAGGGATGATGGACGGGACAAGGGGCACCTCCTGCTAGCAAGACATTTTTGTGGCTTGTCCTTTGACTCTTGATTTTAAACCTCTTTCCTAGTGAAACCGGGAACTGCATGACCCCGTGAGGCTTCCCAAATGAAGGGAGATTCAAAGTTGAAGCAGTTATTCCTGTTGGAGGAGATGGTGAATTTTACAGTGCATCTCCCAGGTAGCTTAACGGGAGTTGCAAATGATGGGATCTCACAGGGGACTCTAGCACTGTGTCCTGTGACTGCAGTGAGTTCAGCACCGTTCCTGCCCTTGCAGATTTGCTTCGTGGCTACACTGACCCCTTCCGCTTCCCTCCAACCAAGACAGTAGGGGTTAAGGTTTCAAATATCAGAAAGATACTGTTTGTGCTGCTGTTTAGTGTAATATTCCTGACCCTCTTTCTGCACTGTGTGCCTGGGACTGAGGGTTGTTCTTCAATACATCTAGGACAAATGTCTACTGCAGCATGATAGAAATTCTACAGAAACTCTTTGCAATTTTTTCTCTCTTTAAATATTTGCAGAACAAGACTAGATGCACCTCGACTGGAAACAAAATCGCTGAGTAGCTCTGTGTTGCCACCAGGTTACACCTCTGACCGCCTGTCGGGAAGCAACAGGGACCAGATCCTGAAACCAAAGCGGTCCCATCGCAAAGCAGATCCTGATGCTGCTCACAGGTAGGAAGATCTTTCCTAAGAGCAAAGTTTTGGATGGCACTTCTGGGTCCTGATACCTCTGAAGTTCCTGGTCTCCAGTAAGAGAGGCTGCACATCGCATTTAGAACACCCTGTTTTGCACCCCTTTACTGGGTGCTCTGATGCTTCTGTCCCATCCTACCTGGAATGACCTCCCAGGCGCTTTCTGTGCTGCTCGATCTGTTTTATTTGGCTGGGGTTCTTTATATGTTCCTTCTAGGCTCGTGGAGACTAAGCTCTGGCTGTAAGCAGCTTACATTGTTTATCCTGTGAGTGGCATAATGAAGAAGCAATAGATTTGGCCAGCTCTCGATAAATGCAGTCATTCAGAACAATAGTTTCCCTGCAGCTAATTATTTTTGACCTCTATTGCCAGGCAACCTGTGCAGCTGTTGTGAAGCACATTATGGAAGTAGTCTGTGGAGAGAATGTGGGATTTTGCTAACCGGGAAGGGTGAAGACCTTCTTGGGAAGCTTCTCAGACCTGTTTTGCTTTCAGAGCTGCATGTGGATCTTCTGTTTGTTTGCTTTAGTGTAACCAGAGTGTATGAATGCATCAGACTGACCTTCAAGAAGCTCCTGGCTGAGGTTTTAGAGTTATGGAGCAAGGCTTCCTTTAAGAGCAGTGTTTCAATAGTACCTTGCTCTCTGTGTGAATGCACTGGTAGCCATGAGTGGTGGCAAATCTGCCAGCTGTGTTTTGGGCTGTCACACGGTGTTTCTGGTATTCTGCAACGTCCAAAGCTGCCCGAGGAGCGCGAGCGCGTTCTGCTCGCATCGTGTCAAACCAAAGGCTGGCTCGTCCCGGGCCTTGGCTGCTGCACAGTCCCAGCCCTTGTTTCAGCCCGGCCCAGTGGAGGAGGAGGGCAGGGGATTTCTTGTTTAGGAGCAGTGCTCATTCACCAGAACTCAGGCTGGAAATGCAGATCAGGAAGAGGAGCTGGCCTGGAAATGGAACAGCGTCTGTGCACCTGAGAACTGCTGCTCAGCCCCGTGTGAAGGAGATGGGGGACATGTACCTTATCCAGGGGGGCTGTGCCCAGGCCCCTGTGTATGTGGAAGCCATGGTGACCGTTAAAAAGCATTTTTCTTTCTTTTGCCCTAAAATACTCCAGTGTGATATAGGTTAGTTGCACTGATCTCAGGTAGCACCGTGTTAGAGGAAGTCAGGAGTTTCCACCTAGAATAAGGTAACAGGTTTGTGCAGCCCTTAGTGCTGTCAGCGCTGTCCTAGTATGGAGTGAGAACAGAGGCAGCTTTGCAGAAATACTGACCAGGCTGCGCTAATGTTGGACAGAACTGGTGAGGGGCAAAGGAGTTTGGAGCTATCACTTGATCCTGACCTACAAAAATCCTGGCAGGTTAAAGGAGGGACACACACACAGACCCTTGTGCACAAGGGATGTGTCTTGGGGTCCTAAACTGCCCTTGAGAAGGGGTGGGTGGTCTGTTTGCTAGCTGAGCACCCAGAGCACAGCGCTGAGAGGAGAACGTGGACGGGGATTTGTGCTCTTACTCCCTCCCTCTCTCGTCTTTCCTTAGGCCGCGGATCCTAGAAATGGATAAAGAAGAGAACAGGCGCTCAGTCCTCTTACCAAAACATAGGAGACGGAGCAACTTCAGCTCTGAGAACTATTGGCGAAGGTCTTACGAATACACGGAGGACTGTGATGAAGAGGAGGAGGACGGCAGTCCGGCCAGGAAAGTCAAAATGAGGCGACACTGAGGAATGCACTTTCCAGGCGCACGGAGCTGATGAGATTGGCCTCCAGTCTGTGAAAAATTTCTCCTCCCTCTGGCTGTTTTCCATCTAGCTTCAGTTTTGGTTTTTCCTTTCAGGCTGAAGAAGGAACAGGAAGGATCTAGCAATTTATTTTTATGAATGGAGGAATGCTGAGACATACGGAAGGATGGAACATGTCCAGTGCACATGGGTCAAATGGGCATCTCTCCCTTAGGAAACAGATAATGTTGTGCCAGGCTGTCTGTTGGGATTTTTTTTTTCCTTTTTTGAAAACACCAAAAAGTTTTAAGTGTTTCATTGCGCAAGATTCAAGAATTGTATTTTTGTTTTTTGCTTTAACTTTCTTCCTTTTCAAATGTTCTAAATATGATGTTTGACCCCAGGAGCTGAAACTCTCTGCGGTGGCCTCGTATTCCTTGCTTCACCAAAGGGCTCCTCGGTCTGCTCTTACCTAGTTGTTGTTGGGTTGTTTTTTCAGGGTGCCCTACAGTAACTGGAAGTTTGAAGCTTTGCAGACCCTTCTTCTGCAATTGATTACAAAAGGGTTAGGACGTTTTTGTTGCACTTTAGTACCAGTTTTAAATGCCGTAGACTTGCTTTCCAGTCCCTGTTCCCAAGCCAGCTCGGGCTCACAGCCTTCTGTCCCCGCAGTGAGACACAAGCCTTGTGTCCCCTCTCCGTGAGGAATGTGCCTAAACTGGCTTCTCAGCGCTGCTCTGCCCAGGGCTGTGCGTGGCCTGGGAGGGAGGAAGGCTGCTCCCTCGGCCGCCTTCCTCGAGGCCGGTCTAGCGCTGCCCCGCGCTCCGTCCTGGAGTGCAGGGACGGCTGCGTGAGCGAGTGCGTTGAATCCGTGCTGCTCCCTGGAGCTGGGGGTAGCGCAGAGGCGTGGGGGAGACGCTGTGGCACCCCATGCCAGGAGCTGTCCTGACAGCGTGGGGGACAGGCCGCGGCCTCCGGCTGGGCACGGCGAGGTGAGGCAGCAGAGCATCCCGTCCCGTGGGCCCTGCTGTGTTTGGGACGGAGCAGGGACAGACTGTGGCCTCCGGGCTGCTGGGCAGCTCGGCCACAGTCCTTCCCCTCTGGGGCCAGTTTTGGGGATGCTGTGGGGCGTTAAAAGGCTCTGGTTTGGCCCAGAGGCGCCGTCAGCTCGGGTGCATCCCGCAGCTCTCCCGGCGCAGGGCTGTGTGCCCCTCCTTGCTTTGCACGGAGCGTGTTCCTGTGGCAGGGCCTTCTGGATGCTGCGGAGGCGCTGAGAAGCATCAGGCGTCAGGTGGAGTTATGTGCGAGCGGCTCCATTCTTGCTTTTCTTCTCCCAGCCAGTTTGTGTTACCCTGGCCTGAAGTTCTCAGTGTTTTCCAAGCTTGGGGCCCAACACCATATTTAGAACCCTACTTTTAAGAAACTTCAAGTTGATTCTTCGAACCCAAGTGTTGGCAGTCATAAGGGGTAGTCTTATTTTAAAATAATTTTTACTGCTTTGCCTTCCTTCAAACTGTAGTTTTCCGTAGCGTTGTGTTCCCCACACTTCATGGTCTGCACGCTTGGCAATAAAAAGATGTAATATATTTTGAAACCCGTTTGCTGCTGTCGTGAGGAACTCGGTCGAAGCAAGCGCAGGCTTCGCTCCCGCAGCGCCGCTCCGTAGCCTTGGGTGCCTCCTGCCACCTCGGCAGCTCCTGCCACTCGACTGCAGCGCTGCCGGGTCTAGCAGGGGCACAGATCTGGAAGCTCGTGCTTTTGCTGCTTCTAAATTTCTATTTTCTAAAAAAGAAGCTGTTTGCAGACCACACTTAGCATTGGAAGCGGGTGTTCCTCGCCCTCCTAGCTTGCTGCGGAGAAGCCAGGCAGCTTTTGGCTGTGGAATCCCTGTTTTGGGAAGCGTGGCGTTCCCCTGCGAGCAAAGCAGCCGCAGGGAGTGTCGGGCCCTTGGCCTCTTCGCGGCGCCATCTGAAAACATCCTTGGCAAGCTAGAGAGCTGCTAGCAGGATGCCTGGGAATGGCTGTTCCCGATTGTCTGTCTGGATTTGTCCCAAGAAGGGCCCGTGCCCTCCTTGGGTGTCAGTCTCGCCGCCCGCTCCGTGCCTGGTGGTCTCGCCGGAGGTCTCGATGCGCAGCCTGCCCTTCTCCTCTCCCCCCTGCTCCTCCTTTTTACGCCTACCTCTGCAATACGGATAATACTGTACGCTGGTGTCTTGACTCAAAGTGAAACCGGGGGCAACCTGCCTTGTGGGGGCCCTTCCACAGCTCCCAAAGCAACGGGATCGCCCTGATCCTACGGCATGGGTATCGGCTCTATCTCCACTCGCGTCTCCCTGAGGCATCCTGCGGTCTTTCCTCGATCCTGGTACAAACCGTGGCCTCACCCCGTCCTCGCGCGGGCGGCGCGCGCGGGTTTTAGGTTTGTTTTGCTGCATGGCCCGTCGGGGCGCTGCCGTCCTCGCCCGGGGCTGCGCTGCGGGGCCGAGCCGAGCCGGGCCAGGCTGGGCCGCGCTCGTGGCTGCTTCTCTTTGCTGCCTTTTTAGTTTGCAAACTGACTGGTTGGGGCTTGATACCTTGGAGAGAGAGTGGGACACAACTGGTCTGGCCCATCGTGTCTCGGGCGAGGAGTCCCCCCCGGTACGTAGGCAGGCCGTTTTCCCCACTTGTACAGACATTTTATAAATATATATACACACACACACGTATGTATATGTGTAGATACATGTTTTTTTTTAACTCTTTTGCACTGAACAGCATCAGAGCGAAACCTTGCTTCAAAACCAGAAGATCCGTTTTTCACGTGGACCCAGGTGTCTCGATCTCTTACTGCGACCTGCCCGGTAAAACCGCGACTCAAAATACTGACGTTGCCCATGTTGCCGTCGGCTCCGGTACAGTAACGCGCTTCAGATTCCTCTCCGTGCCCTCGATGCATGTAGTCTGTATAACCTGCTCAGCCCTTCGCTGGCGATAAAGCTACACATAACGCAAAGACCCTGTGCGCACCCGCAGCCCAGAGCACGGAAGAACTTTTCTTTCCTAAGAAAGGACGAGGTAGGCGAGGGGTTTGTCCCTGTTTGTCTGCAGGCAAAGGGAGGAATTTGGTTTTGTTGCGTTTACCTGTATCTCGAGAAGACTTGGTGATCGAATTAAAGCTCGCGTGGGCTCGATAGGTCCGCGGCACGAGAAGGAAAGGCTGTTTGCCGGTCGGAGAGGGGTGAGCTGGCCGAGGGAGCGGCTGTCGCGTCGGAGCGTGCAATAAATCCCTGCCTTGCTGAGCTTGCCAGATTCCCGGAGACAACATCCGCTCCGGTGGGCGCATCCCGTGCAACAGGAACATCCCGGCTGCCACCTCCGGCTCTCCCCACCCACTCGCCCTGATCCCGCGGTTCGTACAAGAGTTGTGACACACGCACGAGCTGTAACCCAAAGGTGCTTCCTCGCGGCTCCGGGGCTCCTCTGCCAGGCTCCGAGCCCCATCCTGCGGGTCTAAACGGCTGCAGCGCCTTGAGGACGGTAGAGCGGGGCCTGAATGTAGAGTTTTGCACCCACCTCTGGGGGCAAATAGTCCTTTTTATGCCAAATGCGGCTAGTTCCCTGTTGAAGGTGGGAGGAGAAGGGTTAGGCCGAGAAGCGCACGCGTCTGCTCCTTCCCGCTCCCCTGTCCACACTTACAAAGTTCTGGCTGACTTTAATTTTGTTTTTTTAAAGATTCTAATTTTTTTTTTGTTACAAATAAAAAAAAAATAAAAGTGGCAATATTTTTTTCTCTAAGCTTTTCCTAGGAAAAAGCATGGTTTGTAACAAAGTTGTACAGTTCTGAAGTTTGAGATACAAAAAGTACTGTGTGAAACGCTGTAAATGGGGGCAGAGATTATTTTATGTACAGTCCGACGTGGGGGGAATCTTTTAATTCTGGTTGGTTCTTAGGAAGAATTTGGTTCTTCTCTGTCAGGGTTTGAAATTTCATGGTTTCATTATAATTTTTTTTTCTTGTATAGATTGCTGCATTAATTGAATAAAAGCAGAAAGCATCATTGCCTGCCTGTGTGCTGGTGCTCAGCTCGCCCGCGACACCCGTGTCCTTCCACTCCCATCCCCTGGCTTCGGGAATGCTCCGAGCGTCGCAGCCTGCGCGGAGCCCGGCCCTCGGATCTGTGCCTCCCTTCTCCAGCGCCAGAAAAGAGGTTGGGAAGTGGGACTAAATAAAGGGAGGCTGCAGCTCCTTGGGGATTGAGGTGTTTAAATGCAAACTCTGCTCTTGAGCTGTCCTAGAAACCGGGGCTGAGGCGCTTGTGTCCCCTTGTGTCCCTCTCTTCTCCTGCCGGTCTCAGTGCCCACTGGGAGCAAAAATCAAAGCCCTCCCCGTTCCTCTTGGTCCATCCATCCCACTGCCCTGCCTGGCTTTGCTCCTGGTGCTGTTGCGGAGGTGACATCGGATCCGTGCCCGAGGTCCCCTCGGAGCAGCCTCCCCCAGCACCTGGATCGGGGCCGGCCGCTCTCTGCCCATCCGGCCTCCTCCCTGGC